ACAGCGAACTATAAACTTTTCATAATTAGTGTTTTCAAAAAGTATAAAATCAATTAAATGATATAGCGTAATGGTAAATTCACAACTTAGAGAGAACCAGCAAGTCACAAGACTATGAAGGGATACTGACACTGGATAGGGCATTTATTGAGAAAGCCTGGTAATAGTATAACTAGACTGTAATTGCACCGAAACCCACATAAGAAAGAGATAGAGGGAGACCTTAAACACACGGAAAAGAGAATTGCTGACATAAATGAATGATACTGGAAACACATGGATGACACAAGATAGGGTAACTAAGTATGAGCTAATTCATGGTCTGTGCTCCAGTGAGTAATAAAGCGCTTGCAATTTTGAAAACCCTGACATGTAATTATTTAAGTAAATTAGTTTGTGTGTTCATGTAAAGAGATAAAAAATGTTACACATTTTGTTTGAGTATTTAGACTCAGTAGCAAACAACAATGACTGCACAAAATAAGTCAGAAAAAGACTTGCTTTAGCTATGCAGAGACTAAAAAACATGAAGAATCTATGCCACAGCACCTGCAAGCGAGTTAAGATAAATATTTTGAGATCATGCATCTTTCCTGCGGCAACTTATGGATGTGAGTCATAGACTCTTACTTGGTCTTTGAAGAACTGATATTCTACAGAAACATTGTTATGTCGTTGACTAAGAAGAAGAAAAACACTGACCTACATGATGTGTGCATCGAGGAGAATCGGCTCATAAACAGCATCCTGTTCTGACAACGCATTTTTCCATGTTAAAAGTCATAGTGGGCTGGACGGAACTTTAATGGAGGGCACAGTTTCAGGAAACCGAGGCAGAGGTAGACCTCAGTGAACGTGGAAACAAGACATTGAAGATGCATTGACTATAAAAGCAAATGGGACTGGAGAATTTGCTAGAGAATGAGAGACTCTCAGGTGTGCTATGACGAGAGCAAAGTTTTGTAAAGGACCTGATTGATTGATGATGTTCATGCAGTCGTATAAATAGGAGTGTGCAGTTTGTAATTTACAAGGTGGTAATAGCATAGATATCATCTGTGAGTGTATATTCTCACATGAAACAGAATATGCGTAAGATTGCTGAGCAGAGTTTAATTTCTGTTTAAATCTAAAATAGTAGAGAAAGAAAGGTGCAAGTATTTCCTTGGTATATACTAATTGTGGAGTAAAATGTGAAGTCTTAATTTATTCTAGGCCACAACAGGATGAGGTGGGGTGGCTAGCTACCTTCTTATTTACATTTCTTTCCCTGTTTCCAAGATATTTTGTTTAAAAATGTTGAAGTATTCGCAAATTGCAAAACATTTGTCATTTTTAATTATCCTTTTTTTAAAACCAGGAAAATGTTTCCAAAATTTTTAAAGTTATTACTATCTGTTAAATAATTTAGTGAAACATAAACCTGGTTTTAAACTGTGCAGAGATTATTTTAAACTATAAAGTAATGTTGGGGGGGGGGGGGGGGGGGGGTGGGGGGTTTGGAGGAAGACACAACAGCTTTTAAAGCAGTTCAAAGCAAATACTGCTGATGTAGTTGCTATGACATAACAATTCTTTAACTCATTGGCTCTTTCAACCCCAGAAGGTTTAGTTAGGTTTGGGGAAGGCAACCAGTTTGGAAAATGACAATAATCAGTGCATTGCTTTTTAAAGACGTTAAAAAGATTTTGGCCATTCAAAACAATAAGAGCTGTTGCATGTATTAAGGTTCTTGATGTTCTTGTCTTTTACCCCCTGTTGGAGCATAGGCTGAACAAACTTATACCAAGCCATCTTCTTAAGCACTTTCTATTTATCCTTATTTGAAAAAAATTAATACATACATTGATGGGATTGTTTTATGTTTCAGTGTTTAAAAAATTTGTTGAGAAATACTGAAGGAATTTATTTGCAGTAGATTTTTTAAATGGTTGTGGTTCCAACGAAGTGCAATTTGGCACTGTAATTGGCGTACAGTAATAAATTGGTTAAAGCATCCTATCATTTATGGAGTCAGATGGCCTGATCATTTTTTTTTTTCTGCTGTTTAGTAAAGTAACATTTTCTCAAATGATTCAGTGAACAACGGAGCAATATGATCAAATAAACAGTACCACAGAGCAGACAGAGAAACCTTCTTCGGAGAGAATGATTCTGCTAGCAGTGAGCAGAGGGTCTGCCTGCATTAAAAAAAAACAATGCAAACTGTTAATCAGGATGCACCTGGCGCCATCAATATGGAAACACTTCGTTGGCTACTGAGGAAGGTGATAGGACACATATTAGAAAGTCTCGAGTGCAGTGATGTCAACTCTTGATTCATTCATTCAGTTGATTCAGTGACTTTGTTAGCCTTGATTATCTCACAGTTTTGTTTCCTGTTTATGTGGTAGAAGAAGTTGCAGCTATTCTAGTACTGTGTGTTGATTCACACACGATCTTAGCAATGGTGGTGTTGTCTGTTAGCTGATTGAAGGGTCTGTGTACATTTTCCACCATATACTGTTGCTCTACACCCCCTGAGCAGAATCTTCTATGGGGTTTTGTTTTATTGTATATTTTCTCATACCCTTTATTCAACTCTATGTTGATGATGTGTAATGATCTTTCTATTTTTAAATAGTTTTTTTACCTTTTCTTCTTTGTATATATTTTACAAACTGTTTACATGCCATATGCTTGTCAGTTACCTGACTGACTAGGCAGGCCTTAGGCATGCAACCATGAAGTTCATCGCAACAGACTGCCAAAGGTGGAAAGAGCAGATCAGACATTCAACATAAATTGGTGACCCAATGACGCATAGAGTTACGGGATGAGGATGATGATGCTTGTCAGTTAACAGAGAGTGCAGACAGTGCCAAACAATATGTAGCAGGAGCAATAACTTAAGTTAACATTTAACTCGCCAGTAGATTGAAATATGGCAAGTAATTCTTCTTTTCCGAAGACCCATTTCTGCCTTTCAGCATTACGCTTTGAAGAGACATCTAGTGCTATGTAATTGCTGGTATTCAGATCCTCAGACATTCTGTCTTTCAATTGCTTGCATGGGTGACCTCTGGCTCTGCTTCCATTTTATCTGACGGGCTCCCTATGTTGTATTGTCCTTTGGCAGTCCCGACACATGTCCACATCATTTGACCTGTAGTGAAGCACTGGATCCGTTCCCTCTTGTTCCCTGAAATCAGCAGTTATGATCATGTTTCTTCTTGTTACATTCGAGATTCATTGTAGACATTTATCTTCTGTTTTGATAGAGGCAAATAATGTGTACAAAATTTGTTACCCTGCTGTTTCGTATAAATAACTGGTTAAAGAATGTAAATGTCATTCCTTTGCCGATAATTATGGTACATGTATGAGCCAAAATTAGGACATATGAGCTCTGGTATATATCAACATAGTCAGTATGTTCAGATGCTTCGATAGTCTTATTACAACTGATGGAAGTTGTAATTTAAAAAAAAAGGTTGAATGTAGAATTACCCATGAAAATGCAGCATGCCACAAAATGAAAAGTATTAATATAGACGATATCTTTTTCATTTGAAAGAAGAAGAAGAATAATTAAGAACTGTATGTCCTTTGTAGATTCCAGGAGCCCATTTTGGGGCAGGGAGGAGTTGGAGTTTTCAAGAAAATACTTGATAGTTTGAAATGCCTGACCAAATGTACAAGACCATCACCATATTGTGTGTGTGTGTGTGTTGCACCTAACTGCATTTTGTATGTTTTTGTGTGTGTTGGACAATGGAGACTTGCTTTTGGTTTGAAATATATCAGTCATTTTTGGGGGGATTGAACCCGGGCAACTGCTGCCATGTTAAATGTGAATTTAAATGAAAATACTATGCTGCACGTGTGGGTTGGGCGGCTCCAGTACCCCAAGCCCTTTGGAGACATGTTCATGTTTGGTTGGAATTTGGAGCTGAAGTTTTTTTGGCAACTGAGTCATTCATTGGTTGGCCAGTAAACAACTTCGTTATTGGTCGGAACAGTATGTGGGTCTGTCTCCTTTGATGGCATCAGCGCTACAAGAGTACCCCTTAGGGGAAGTTGGTTGAAAGTAACAAGGGGCGAAACAAGGAAGGAAGCTGCCGTTTTCTAAAATAGTGACGTGACCAGTCTCAGTGCTAACCCATCTTAGTCCTGTTTATAGTAGGTATCATCATGATTTTTTTTTTATTTTAACCATTTTGCCTTGAGACATCATTTTGTTCGGTAGTGCTGTCTGTTACAAATCCCTGAGTAGGCAACATTTTGGCAGTAAAACCTTAGCCAATCCCCGCTGTGCCTTTATATCAGCTTTGGTGCTGTTTTGTGCCTGCGCAATGCTGGGGTGGGGCTAGATATGATAATATTACTGAAAAAAGCATTTTAGTGGGTTTTTTTAAATTGTAAAGAATAAGGGTTTCTTTCATCATTATGACATCATGATAAGCCAACACAGTCACATAGAAGAGGGTCAAAGTATGGCTCACCATATGCATTGTTATTTAGACCCGACATAATTTTTGCGACTAATTTTCCGCGTCATTCATGTTTATTGTCTGCCCAAAAAAGCATGCCGTAAGAGTCACATAACTGGGAGCTTTCTCCAAGGTCGGAGTGCATCTGCCTGAGAGGCAAGAAACCAACAATCTGCATACAAATAAGTCAGACTTGTAAAACGGATGTGCATGCAACTCTCAGGTTCAGAACAAGACTTAAGTCCAGAGATGAACAAACAACCATAACTTTCCGCCAGAGTTTACAGCCGTTGAATGTTAAGAAGAGAAAGATATGTTTATTGCAAAATTTTTTAAATACATATTAATGGCCTTTGTAAAATAGAGTATTGCAAAGAGTTGTGTGTAATTCCCAGGTTTTGCTCCCTCCTTTTCTGTAGGGTTTCCTGGGCAAAAGGGTTGACTTATATAGCCTGTTAACACATGGGTGTACTATTGTGCCACTTCTGTAATAACATCAACAGTTATTGTTCTTCTACAGGTTTTCTAATGAGCAAAAACAAGTCAAGAGGAGTAGCTGATAGAAAAGGAGAGGGCAGCACAGGAAGTGAGAGCATTGCTCCACGCATGATCACCTCCCAGGCTACGACGTCTTGTCTGCAGAACTTGCGTCAGAACCCAGCTTTAACCACAGGGCACACATTCATAGTACAGTCACACCATGAAATGAAGAATTTCAGTGTAAGTATTTGCAGTTAGGGACCTAAAGCAGTGGTTCTCAACCTTCCTAATAATGTGACCCTTTGATACGGTTCCTCATGTTGTGGTGACCCCCAACTATACATTTATTTTCTTTTCTACTTCAATAACTTCAGTGAAAACGTGTTTTTTTTTTTTTTTACTGTCACAGTATTCAGCTGGGAGTTGTGGGCTTTTTCTGCAATCACTCTTAATTCTTATGTGTGCCCCAATAAGCTTAGATGGTCATGATTTGCCATTCTACACTGTCATTAATTGGTTCTTGGCACCTATCTGTCTTTCCAGATGATAATGTTCCATTGTCCTATAGCGGTGATCTCAAACCTTTTTTTTTTAAAAGATGGATTGCGCCCTCCCCTCCCCCTTTTGAGTATATAGCATATCCACAACAACAAAATGTTAAAAAGAGAACAAAGAAAATATCCTAAGCACTGTTAACAAGAGCTTGGAGAAAAACATCAACATTAATTACATTTTTAAGGATAGATTTACAAACTGCTTATGAAAACAAACATGTCCTCAGCTGTTTGTTTTGTAATTTAAAAAATATTTTATTAATACTTAAAAGTGAGAAAAAAAAAATATCAGTATAACAGATTATTACAACTACAAATTCACTCAGTTTCAAAATAGCTTGATGTCTTAGAATGGAGACCACTGTGCTGGAAAGTGGCATAAAAATCAGTCGATGGTGTGGAAAATTAAGGCCAAAGCACAGACAATATGTTGCCTTCCAGCATGATCCTTTTCTAAGTCTTTTAAAACTTTTTTTAAAGAAAAGGTAGCACCACTTTTGGAGGGGGGCAAATGCGACAATCGTGGATTGCTATAACTAAAAATTGAAATGTGCGCTTTAAATGCATGCACAGTAAGTTCTTTTTTGACAAAGAAAAAAAATATTGACATTTTTCAGATGTGACCAACCATTAGGGGTGTTGGCCTCATAGAAAGTCTCATGGAAAACTGAAATATTGTGTGTGTGTATATATATATATATATATATATATATGTGTGTGTGTGTGTGTGTGTGTATATATACACACACACAGGATGCTGCTCTTCTTTGATGCACATCAGAAGTGGGGCGGCCAATATTTAAACTGTTATTATAATGTCACCATGGTGTCATTTGCTAAGCATGTTTGACATTTTTAACAGTATTGACATGTTGCAGATAATGGTATGGTTACTGTCATTCTAGGCCTCCTTGTATGTGTGTCTACGTATATATGTGTGTGTGTGTATATATATATATATATATATATCAAAGCAATGTTTCCCTGTTGTAAATTTGAACAAAGGAGATTAAAATTAATTTTAATTTAATTAATTAATATTAAAAATTAGAATTCTGGCCGCAAAGATCACCCCTCTGCAATAAGACGCCATCTTCTAAAATCTGAACACATAACTAAAAACAACGCATTTCAATTCCTTCATTTGTCAACCAATGGCAGTTTGCTATGCTAAGATATCTCGAAGGTTCCGTTATTTGTCACCTGCGCCCGGAACTCTGTACACAGAAAGAGACGGTTCTGTCTTTAATTGTACTTCAGTTATAAAGGATTCACTTGCTTCATTTATGTAATTTTTATTGTAGTATGAAGCTGACAGGATACAGCGAAATATGCCAGGCAATCTATTGTTTGATTTATACATATATATATATATTACACCATAATGATTTGGAAAGAACTGTAATGAAGATAGAAAGGCATAGGCAGTCTGTTGAGATGAGGACATTGATACAAGTGGGAAGAGAGCATCAAGAGGTGGGAAAACCGCAGACTGTCGTTGTCTGCAACCTGGGGAGGGTTTTTGATGTGTTTTGCAGCCAACCATTATGGAGATGGCACCTGATTCATTAATTCAATCATTAAATATTCTTTAACATGAGCAATCGTAGAAGTACAATAAATTTGAAACCTGAAGAAATGAACTTTTTATTTCTTCAGCATCAGTGAAACTAGAGGCTGTGTGGTTTTTTTGTGTGGCGCAGAACTCTTTAATAAATATGAAGAGAAAAGCTAAAAAATTAAACAGTTGGAAATCTGGGCCTAAAATCTTATACACGTTACTGATTTTTTTTTTTTTTTTTCATCGAACACCGGCTGTGAATTCCAGTGGAAGGTCCCGGTTAATCGTCCGCTTGGACTTTTGGCCTTCACCTGGACCTGATTTTTGCGTGTACAACCGTTTTTTATTTCCCTGCCTCTTGGGCAGCTGTACGCCGACTTCGAAGGAAGACGTCAGGCCTATTTCTAGGGTGACTGTGGCCATTGTTTTGTGTGGGTCGAGACTTTGCCTGATTTGTGTGGTGTCCGCCTTGTCTCCTTCGCCGCAGGTATTGCCCCCGGAGTACCCCTTTGGGGCAACCCCCTGTGGAACAGTTGGCCCTCAAGGGAAGGCAGGGGCAGATCATGGGCATTCCCCGCCATCCAAGGAGGCTTCCATGCATGCAGACCGGCACATGGCGCTCTGGTTCTGGGCTCACCCAAGGAATCGTCACGTCCTGCACATGCCTGCTTAACCTCACAACCGTATCAGGCCTCCCGCTCGACAGGGGCTGCGCCCTCTGGAAGTCAGCGGGTAGCAGCCCGTTGGTTTTGGACTTTTGTGACCACACAGATAGGTACATTAGCCCGGCAGAATTTCACATCCTGAATCAGGCATATCGTTATCAGTTTTGTCCCAACACTCGGGCGAGTGGGGTCTTTGGGTGTGGACATTCGGCCTTTTTCATTTCAGTGCAAATTTTGATGGTCAGATTTTGATCCGTATGATCTAGTTTTGTCGAACATTTAGGCTTAGCCATCCGATGGATGGTTGCTGTTGTGGTGTACCACAGCGCGGTGACGACGACACTGAGGGCCAACCGAGGATGCACAAGGATGGCCAGCCCATGTATGGTTGCTGTTGTGGTGCACCTCAGCGCGGTGACGACGACACTGAGAATTAACCAAGGATGAGCATTGAGCAATGTTCTCTTTACTCAGCAGTCTTTTAACCAAGGGTTGTGATTTTAGCTGTACTTTTGTCGAACCTACTCATGTTCCTAATGAGTTTTGATAACATTTTTCACCCAAGCGTTTGGGGGCGGGCTGATGAGAGCCACAAGGACACATCACCTCTGGGGGCCGCCAAACTCCGAGATCCCCTGACATAATGCTCATTTGAGACATTATCCGTGGCGCACGACGAGGACGTGCTGTAGGGGTCTTGCGTGAGGTTCCGTACAACCAGGATAGTAAAGGGCTGGCGCCCGAGTGACGTGCGGAGTATCTCCTTATACACATCATGTTGGACTTAAACTTCCCCTCACGCCTGTGACATAAATCACAGCGCCACTACGTTACTGATATTTTCTTAGATATATCCTTCTTCTTCCTCTTTGTTCACCTCTGGCAGAAAGTCCTGGTTGCTCGTCCATTTAACTTTGACGTTGTGCCAGGACCCAGGTTTTGTGTGTACATCTATCTTATTGGCTTATCTGTTTGCGGTTGGTTGTTCCTTGCCTCTCGGTCAGATATATTTCGGCTTCAAAGGAAGCCCCCAATTAGTTAACTCTTTTGAGGTGCTTGTTGAGGAAGCAGTGGGTCTGTTCTTGTTTTCTGCACAGTGGGGTTCGGAACTCACACAGGGATTTTACAAATATGAACATAGAAATCAGGGCATTAGTAGTAGAGCTTATCTTTCTGTCAAGCTTTTGGCTTGTCAGGTATGTTGTTAGCTTGTCTTTCTATCGAACTTTTGGATTGTCAGGTGTGTTGTTAGCTTGTCTTTCTATCGAACTTTTGGATTGTCAGGTATGTTGTTAGCTCGTCTTTCTATCGAACTTTTGGATTGTCAGGTATGTTGTTAGTTTGTGTCTTTCTATCGAACTTTTGGATTGTCAGGTATGTTGTTAGCTTGTCTTTCTATCGAACTTATGGATTGTCAGGTATGTTGTTAGTTTGTGTCTTTCTGTCAAGCTTTCGGATTGTCAGGTATGTTGTTAGCTTGTCTTTCTATCGAACTTTCGGATTGTCAGGTATGTTGTTAGCTTGTCTTTCTATCGAACTTTTGGATTGTCAGGTATGTTGTTAGCTTGTCTTTCTATCGAACTTTCGGATTGTCAGGTATGTTGTTTGTGTCTTTCTGTCAAGCTTTCGGATTGTTATGTATGTTGTTAGCTTGTCTTTATAATTAGCCATCAAAAAGACTGGGCTGATTAGAAGTTCACACTAGGCATTATGGTGCATTCCATTAAGAAGAAAGGAAGTTCTTGCCTCTTCTTTGATCGGTGGCATGTTTCCGACACAGTGTGGAAAAAACATCTGATCCTGAAAATCACACGGCTGAAAGTTGGCATCAGTATGTTTTTTAATCCGAGTTCATGTATCAATGATCTGCCAGTATTTAAACGGACAGTAGACTCAAATCAGTAATATTGTGAGAGGGAGTCCCTCAGAACAGCTTTTTAGTGCATTCACTCACTCTTCTCCCCCACTCTTTCTCTATTCCCCACCCCCAAGAGAAAATCTCAATGTCAGGAAATCGACCATGTTTATTTGGTTTTTTGTTCTGTTACAGAAGTCAGCACGCCCAATTGCACCTGCCCCACCGACTCAAACAGTACAGAATTTGGCTGCCCGCAATGTTCAGTCTTCACAAGCAAATATTCCGAGCATCATTTCACCTGGTAAGCGACCATATAGTACTGCTGTCTGCATCTGGTTTGCTTTGTTTTATCTTTATGATCAGAATGCTAGGTTGAAAAGTGCGTTAGAGAAAAGTATTGTTAAGTGTGATTAAACCAGTGTTTCCCAAACCTAACTTAGTCGTGGCGCCTTTTCTTTAATTACAATTTTTCCACAGCGCTCTAAGTAAAAGTATGACTATTCGTGTGCAAGAGATGGAAAAAAATTAAGCCAGGCTATCTTAAAAAATAATTCACGGCGTCCCTGTGAATAGGTCGACGCTCCACAGTTTGGGAATACCTGATGTAAACAGTAAACAACCACTGGTCATTTTTCACAAGGCTAAGCAGGTATTTGATAGCGAGAATTTATGATCACTTTAGTCCATGTAGTAGTTGCCATGGTGTAGTGGCTAGATGCTCACATGCAGATCAGAAGGTCGTATGTTTGGGTCCTGACGGAGCCAGCCATGAGTGGGTACGAGGTGAAATCCTGGGAGGTAAAAGTGACTGGCGTGATGCTGACCACATCACCCACCAAGTGCCGATTGGTCTATAAAATATAGGTCTAACCTTATATGCCCAATAGGCCCAAAGGCGAGGAAAATGGTTCCTTTTTTATTTTTTTATTTTATTTTACTTTCCTTACTTTGGTCCATATTGTACAACCTCAGGGCTTCTCATGGCATATTCTGTCAAGGTTATTGTACTATTTTGTGAAAAGTGGAAATCTTCTTTATCAAGCAACACATTTGTAATCTAAAACCACAGTATATTTTCTTTTTCTTAGTTTTTCTGATATTGTTTTGGATGTAATTTTTTTTGTGCCTATTCATGGCATAGCTGCAATATTTGTATTTTTTTGTTGTTGGATTGACACATTGATCAGTTTGTCCCCTCCAGGTGGTGCCTAAAGGTTGACCATACCATCTTGAGATTTCAAAATCGCAGGTAGATCCCAGATACCCGGTTCAACTTCCAGAGTTGTTAAAATTAGGGCTCCTGTAATGGCTGCACCAGCCATATGTAACCTGTGGTCCTGTCTGGGGTAATCATGTTGTTGCATCTGATTTCTTATGGCATTTATTGACTAGGTTAGGTTAGCCTTCCCGAGGACACAGTATATGCAGTTATTACAGTAATGCAACCACACTTCATTCAAGTCCATTATTACCATGGAGATGGCACCTCATCTGTCCATCACCCTCACAAGCGACTAGTACTGTTGATTATCCAGACTAATAACAGTATGTTTTGAAAGAGGCAAGGGCTCTAAGACAACTTATGACAGTATGTTTTGAATGAGGTGGGAGCTCTAAGACAACTTATGACAGTATGTTTTGAAAGAGGTGGGAGCTCTAAGACAGCTTATAACAGTATGGTTTGAAAGAGGCGAGGGCTAAAAGACAACTTATCACAAATGTCAGGAATAGACAATCATAATTTTTCAGTCATGTTATGAGAATTAAACTGGAACATGTTGTGACCACTGTAAAGATCTGTGGAAAGAGATCCAGGGGAAAACATGAAAAGATTCTTGGCAGCCTTTTGTCCTGGCATAGAGGGGTATCAACACACAAACTGAAACACATACTTACTGATCACTGACTGTTGGTGGAGAGGTATGACAATCCACGCCAGTCGGCAAAGCACTTGATGGTGATGATGAATCTCAGTGTAAAGAATAAGATAATAACCTCTATTGATATCCACTGCCCATTGTGTTCCAGACCCCCGTGAATATTATTTTTGTATAAATAAATTTGAATCTTGATACAGACAATGGTGTCCCATCCTAATTGTTCCCTGATTCCACATTTCCAGCACTGGCCACTGGAAACAACGACAACCTGGTCAGCCTAAACTTTGTCACAACTACGGCCTCGGGCGGGCTCGGGACCATCAGCCATAACCCGAATGCGGTGCCGGTGACTCTACACCAGACCAACAACGTCTTTCAGCTGGGTTCCAGCACCACAGCTGGGAACTTATCCGTGGTGCAGCAGGGCATAACTATGCTACGTGGCTCCAACAGCGCTGGGCAGCAAGCGCAGTCTCATATTCAGGCGTTTGCCCACAGTTTTCCCCAAGTGCCTAGAGGTAAGTGAACAGCTGTTAGGTATGATCTTGTTAGTAAATATTACCACCACTTTCTTCTGCGTAAGCTGTTTAAAGTGCAGTTTGTGCATTGTGTTACGGTTTACAGCTAGATTGTGATAGATGCACCTTTCAACACAACACATCAGATTTCTGCACTCATTAGTCGCTGTTTCCGGTATTTTTGTTTGGAGGAAGGTGCCCCACACACACACTCTCTCCCAACTATGGCCATAGAACCCACAAAGGGAATTATCACCATCATCATCGTGTTTCATGCAGGTTGACATAGGTGATTATGTTCCATTTTGCTTTGCTCGGGTATGTGAAAGGAAATGAATAAGCAGATGGGCATGCAGGTAAGGTTAAAGTGGATGGCCATGAGCAATATGCTATGCTGATGTACTGAATGCCCTATCAGAGGTGAAACATCTGCGAAAGGTGATAATTGAGAAAATGCAAAATCAATCAAAACAGACTTCAAGAACAGCAAGGGGTGTGGCCAAACAAGAGTATAAAAGCCAAAGAATAATAGACCAATATAGAACTGGTATCATCAGCGGCAGGCTTTACTGAGGAGGGGATCTTAGAACTTATGAAATGGTTGGTTCAGTGTGCTGTGAGGATTAACTGTCAACAAATTTTACTAAGTCACCTCACATAGTCTTTATACATATTAAGTTTTTTGAAGGTGCCAGATTTAAGCTGTCCTTTCCATGCAAATGAGTTAGCTCTAATAAGAGGTGCAATAAGACCTACACAAACAATTGCCCTGAAAATGAGAACATGTCTTTGTAACCTGTTGAAAATCGGTGATAGCACTAGCAAGCCGAAGTCAGCAGCCTAATAACACTGGCAAGCCAAAGTCAGCAGCCTTATAGCACTGGCAAGCTAAAGTCAGCAGCCTAATAGCACTGGCATGCTAAAGTCAGCTAAGTGCTCAATTCTTGTTTCAAGAAAATTGCATTTGGACATTGAAAGGCAGATTAAAATTGAGTAGTTTTATGTAAAGGGGACCTCCTATGGCGTAGCAGCTAGACTCTCGCCTGTGGATCGGAAGGTTATAGGTTTGGGTCCTGTCAGATTCCGACTTAGACAAAAATGGCCTTGGCTCACAGGTAGACCCAGCCTTGAGTGGGTACCTGGTATAGTCTTGGGAAATAAAGGTGGCCATGTGATGTTGACCACATCAACCATTAGATTCCGATTGGTCTAAAAAAAAGGTCTAATATGCCCCATACGCCTAAAGATATGGAAAAGGGTTCTTTTAGTTGCATGTTAAGTAATACCTCATTTTGACCTATTTGAAGTAGGAATTCACTGTATTGGTGTATATCAATTGGTGTACTGTAAAGTGAAATCCCAGCCCTGAATATTCAGTTAGGTGAAAATCGTCAAAATTTCACCTCTGTGACTTTGGCATAGTGACATCCATTGTGCTGTCATAGCTCTGTCCTTTTGAACTGTAATTTGTAAGTTGTTTTTTAAAGCTGGTTATTTTTCTTGCAGGTACGCCATCTCCAGCTGTTCCGAAATCAGCAGGTGTGCTGCGTCAGGGCCCTTCACCAGCCCTGCAGATACCCGCAGGTTTGAACACGTTGCCTCTCCCCATAGCCAGGGCTCCGCTTCTGCAGTCAATCAAGACCACAACAACACAGGCAACAAGGCCACAGTCACCTGCTGTTGGGGGTCTGCCAGCGCCACAGACACAGCCACAAGATTTGTCAAGGTGTGCCAAAACATTGCCAGCTTGTCACTCTTTCATTTTATTTTAAATACTTTAGTTAGTATGAATCAGCATAAGCGCCAGTACATTAAGCCAGGAATGTTTATCATTGTTCAGTTTAAAATACTCTAGTTCCCCATGTGGCTTCCAGGGCCTCATTGTGGGGAGAACAAGAATAGACCCACTGCCTCCCCAATAAGCATGTTGACTTACTAGGAGCTTTCTTCAAAGTCTAAGTGCATCTGCCTGAGAGGCAAGGAACCAACAGTCTGCCGCCAAAAAGCAAGATCTGTGAAGGGGATGCACACGCAAAACTCATGTCCTGGAATGAAGCCAAAATCCAGAAACGGACGAACAACCAGGTCTTTCTGCCAGGATTTACAGCCGGTGAATGCAAACAACAAAATACTCTAGTTAGTATGATCTAATCAAGATGAAACAGAATACATGATAACAACAAGCGAGGTAAAGGAAAAAACTCTGACCCCATACAGATAGATAGTATGAAAATAAAAACAGCAGAAGCGTTTAAGTGCTTGCATACAAACTTAAACGGTTCCAACATACTGAGAGGAGAATACTATTTAGAATACAATATAGAAATAAGTCATACTGTGCCCTGCATCATTTTCTCATTCTTCTTCTTTAGCATTCCGAGCCCTTGAAGTTCTATGCTGCACATATCACCTACATCCATTCATCTCTCTGGTTGGCCTTCTCTTTCCAGTTAGTGACACCAAGTGTTTGCAGGTCTGTCTGGACATTATCTCTCCATTTGTCTTCTTGGTCTGCCTCGTGGTCTACGGCCATTCATCTCCCTTGTGTATAGTTTTTACTTCTCTGTCATCTGACATTCTTTCAGTATACCCCAACCATTTCAACCTATTATTTCTCATGATGCCAGTGATCAATGGTGATTTAAACAGATTATGAATTTTGTTGTTAAAAAGATTTGCCGTAAGTTTTTTTTTGAAAACCTTTAATAAGGCTGCATCATCTGCTAAACTAAAATGCTCTATCTCATAACACCGAGATCACAAGTGATAAAACACTGTGCAGAAAGTGTTCTTTTTTAGTACTCGCTTACTCTGTGCTTACTATAACTTCCCTTTACTTTTATCTAATTTCTGTATTTAAAATTAACACTGCATCTGGCGTAGCGGGCTAGATTCTTATTTTCAAAACCCAATCTGTATCAATTTGTGTGTGTGTGTAGGTCTGACCTGATCACAGAACAGTTTGCTTTCTGAGCACACAAATGTGCATGAATGAAACCTGCATGCAACACTGTTTCTTAAACTAATACAGTCCATGTGGGGGTTCGGGTTCTCATTGTGGGGAGGGTTAGATAGATTCACTGCTGCCAACCCACCCCCTTTTCCCCTCACAGCTGTCTTCTAAAAGTTGACAAATTAGGAGTGTTTCCTCTGAAGTAAGAGTCATCTGCTTGGGGAGGTAAGAACTGACAGTCTGCATCTAAATAAGTCAGATCTGTATAACGGATGTGCATGCACAACTCAGGTTCTAAATGATAATGTCCAGAAGTAGATGAACAATTGGAGTTCCCATCGGAGTTTACATCCCTTGAACGCTGAGTAGAGTAAGAATAAGAAATGAATGCAGCAACCACCATGTCACCAAATTACAAGTAGATTGCACATATTTCCAATTCTAAAAGAAAGCGCGGCTGGAACTACATGGGCCATCCACTCAGAATGGATAAGACAGGACTTCCCCGTCAATCCCTCATATGGACACCAGAAGGGAAAAGAAAATGGCGAAGACCAATAGAGACTCTACATAGAACCATTATTAAGGAAGACTTAACCATAAGCCTAATAAACATTCAAGACCAAAGTAGGTGGCAGCGAACCATCAGACATGGAGATCTATGACCTCTGCCCTAGCGCCGCCTTAGGCTCAAGATGAAATACTAATTAACTTGCTCATATTTCCACAGAACAAACTTCTCCATGCATGGATCTGTCATACCAGGAGGCATAGCGCCTCTTTCCATGCACGTAACCCTCAACCGCATGGACAACTCATCGGTAAACCAGGACAGCTCAATTTTACAGAGCCGCACAGTCACCGCCCAGGTTCAGAAAGATGCTCCGGCAAGCATCCAGCAAAGGATAAGTGTTTCTCTCTCGTCAGACTCAAATTTGCATTCCCGCCTAACACCTGAACTTGCAAGGTCAACACTACCCTTCAGCGGCTCTGCCAAGGTTACTCATCCAAGTTTTGTTCCCCAGCCAAAAGTTGTATCCGCCCAGCAGGGTGCATCCATAAAAACAGGTATAGTACTTGTAAGCGCTTCAACCTCTGTACTTCGTATTTCATTACATTACTGGGAAATTCAGTTGTGAATAAATTTGATCTTTTGATGTCAGACCATTTAGTCAATTTATTTTCCTGTATGGGTTTTGAGGCCCCAGTTGGGGGGGGGGGGGGGGGGTAGACTGTCTCTTAACAAACGTGTTGTAAAAGGTGACTGGGCTCTCCTGTCAACAACGGCCGGTAGACAACAGTAGACGGCGGGTTAGTCGGAGTTCTGTCCCTTGGCTACTGTGCAATTACGGAGTGGAAAAGGAGGGAACGAAACAATTGACACAATTACTGTGTGTTGGCGACAGACAGCGTGCACTGCCCTGCTATAATCATACGTAGTTTAGGTTAGGGGTGGGTTTGTGTTAGGGTTACGGTTAGTGTCGCCGCATCTCGTCTTCGCACAAACTCATAGTAGCAACCCTAACCCAAACCCTAACCGTATGATGACAGTAGGGCACTGCACGTTGTCTATCGCCAACACACAGTAATTATGTCACTTGTTTCGTTCCCTCTATTCCACTCCGTAATGCGTCGCAAGACGCGGTATTTGAACGCAGTCGCTAATTTGAGTCGCACCGCGGGGTCTGCAAGCCATGTCGACGTCACTTTGTGTTTTTATTCGTGCCCTTTCCACTCCGTAATTGCACTGTAGCCAAGGCGCAGAACTCTGACTAACCGGCCGTCTACTGTTGTCTACCGGCCGTAGTTTACAGGAGAGCCGGTGACTGATTAAGGGCTTTGCTTAAATCAGATGTGTTGGGCCAAAAAATGAAATTATCGCAGCCTAGCTGTAAATCACATTACACCCTGCCAGATGCCGTTTTGAGGGCGAGCAAAGAAGTTAATTTATTTTAACCTTGTGTAGAAAATAGCTTATGTCTAGTTTGTATTTTCTGTTATTAAGATTTAAAATATTTTTTCAGATACAAATATTTCTGTGTTGCGTCAGGTTGTCAAGCCTCTTCTTTCTAGATCTTTCCCAGCTTTTTGCCCTTAACTTTCTAGTTGTCATGCTTACCGTTCATTTGTTCAAAAACGCTGATTGTCTACTTCAGATACGTATAATCTGTTCTTGTCTACTTCAGTTACATATAAACAGTTTTTCTTTACTTCATATACATATTATCAATTCTTGTCTACTTCAGGTTCATATAATCAGTTCTTGTCTACTTCATATAGATATAATTGGTTCATATATTTCTTCATCTTCTTCTGCCTGTCTATCCCCAGTGGATCATAGGCCCTCAACCAACTCACGCCAAGTGGTTCTATCCTTCGCCAGAACATGGAGCTCTCCCCATCTTTCTAACTTCATTCTCCAGCTCTCGTCTCCATGTGTTTTTTGGCCTTCCTTTATTCCTATGCCCCTGTGGGTTATATATTTCATTTACATATAATTAGTTCTTGTCTACTCCATACATGTATCAGTTTTTTGTCTACTTCAGATACATATAATCAGAAGACACAAACATCAGATTGCACAGATTTCTACGCCTCTCTTCGCGGGCCTATTACAAGTGAATAAAATGAAGTGAATAAAAGAATACTTTTAATTTTAATTAGTTGATATTTTAGTGTATTTGATTCAATGTTTAATTTAGGATTCATTCATTTACTTCCTTCCTTTTTTCCCTGTCTCTTGTTACTGTAATATGGACTTGACAAGATGCAGCGAAGTGTCAGGCAGTAAACTGTTTATGACTTCTTTATTACAATTAAAATCATGGTTATTTAATGTGCTCTTCTTCTCCACTTCCAGTGAATTTAGCTGTAACCACACCGGTCATGATAAACTCCATCAACCCAACTCTTACGACTGCGACCACAACTGTTGCCTCGACCACCCCGATTCCAATTGGTGAGCACTGTGATTTCTTGGCTGGCTTTTTAGTTCATCAGCTTACCTCAACTGTAGTTCTAGTTCCAGTTGATATTTTTTTTTTTAATTTAAATAAGCTACCAGATTTTATTTTGAACTGTTATACTAGTTAACATTGTTTTAAACTGATCTACAGTTGTTGTCACTTCTGGCTGTGACGCAGTCCTGTAAATGCCAATATATTGCCATTTCTGCAGTGACCTGTTCTCGAAAGCATAGTTAAATGCTGTTGTGTCAATGAGCCTGTGTAGTGTTTAGGAAACTTGGATGTGAATATATTAACTAAATATAGCATCTAGAGGGGTTTCCTTATAAATCCAATAGCTTTTCTAAAGCTATGTTGACTTAATTTTCCCATAAGCCTCAGTGATAGGGGTCAGAGGATGAGCCAGTTGAGACATATTTGTTTTAGGCCCTGGGAATGCATTCCTTCAAATGCTTGGCTATGTTTTTGTTTATTGATTTTTTTAATTTTTATATCTTTATAAAAATGTTAAGTATAGGTTTCAAAAAAGTAGATTATACATTTTCAACATGTAATTAGTTGTCTGTAAAATAGTTTTTTTTTTTTTAAAGGAAATTCAAACATAGTTTTAAACTTCTCTAGGGGCTAATATGTTAAACTGATTTACTTGTTAACATGTTTTTAAACTCTTTTTGCATCTTCAGCCAAAGTCACTCCACAGAGACAGTTTCCAATGGGCAGCATTCCTTCTTCACCAGCTGCCTTACCCCATGTCTCCTCATCGCTGTCAGCAGTCTCTGTTACAGTCTCGCACACCTCCATGACAACCACTAGTTTACCATCCTCCACGTCCTTGGCAGGGACTTTGTCCGCCAACATCAGTGATACAGGACCATTGAGGCATGAGCAAGGGGGTATTTCGTCAACACAGTCTTCAACAGGGGGCATCTTGATATCAGATTTTCCGGTATGCAGCTTTCATATTTGTACATTTTTGTTTTCTGAATTGCATTTTATCTTCTTATTTTTATGTTTGTTCTTTAAAAAGCATTTGCTTTTGTTTACATGTCAGTAAGACTTATTGGAGATATGATGTTAGATGTTAGGCCATCGTTTATGATGACTAAGGAGTGTTGCAGTCAGAAAGAATATCAGTAGCTTTGCCTATGATTCTTCATTCTCTCCTCCTTCCCCTTGTCACCCCTCCAGTTTTTCTGATTTGCTATTCAAAGTCTGGCTAGTCAATCTTCTTAAATCTTCAGCTCCTCTGTCTGTTATCCAATGCCACTGGTGCCAATAGCAGTGTTTCATTTATTTCTTGCCTTTACCCTAAATGTTAAGTGTTGGCCACTACCAGTGGTCAGTCTTCTGCATTATACTCCTCGGACTGATGATCTGTCTGTTTGTTTTCATCGTATCTTATTTTCATGTTGCACTGTTTGTACAGAGCAGCTGATTGTGATTAGAAAAGTAATTTTGTTTTTAAAACATGTAATTTTTCTCTGTATGTCAGTCTGTTGTGCACATGCACTTTTTGTATGATTTATATCAGTCTTATACATCGTTATCAGGTTGCAGGTCCTTAGCAGAATGTCACTCCCATGACAGTCAACCTGAAGAAAACTTTGTCTGTGGTCAGCTCTCCCACCTCGTGAACTTTCCTACCCCAAGATGTCACATATATCCTCTACCCATGTTTGTGCTGTCGCCCTTTCCACTCTTTACTAGTACCATGCCTTCTGCTGTTGAATCCCCATCTACTGTGCCCGCTTGATATGGCTTAAATATGTCAGTTTCTGAGATAAGATATTGTATACTCTGCCCCTCTTTCCTAGTACCATACCTTCTGCTGTTTTTTCCCCCGTCTACTGTGAAGCTTGATATGGCTAAAGTATGTCAGTTTCTGAGATAAGATATTGTATACTCTGCCCATGTTTCCTAGTACCATACCTTCTGCTGTTTTTTTCCCCATCTACTGTGACGCTTGATATGGCTTAAATATGTCAGTTTCTGAGATAAGATATTGTATTTTATATTAGCCAATCTTTCTTGATGTTAAGATAGGATGTCATTGTTTCCTATCTTCTTTGTCTGTGGTATTTTGAGAATCTTCTATAGCATTTGAGCTCAAAAGCCTCTTTTTTTCTTCTTTAAGAACTGCGAGATAGTCCTCAATTCACACCCATATGTTGCTACAGGGAATTGCATATTCTAAATATGTGTAACTTTGATTTCCTTGCTTATGCATACAGGCCACTGAATTACGTACTATGCCTGTGGCATAGTTAAAAAAAATTGCCCCAGTGTTGCAGCCTGAAAGATTTACATCCATTGACTCTGAGTCACTTTTTGGATACAATACGTTTTGGGAAAATCCCAGAAATCCTGTTCAGTCATATAAAATAGTTGTAATGGGGCACCCTAAAATAAATAAGGAACCCGCTGTCCTAAGAGGTAGATGTTTAGACGTAATTTATATATAGGGAAGCAGAAGTGATGCTGAGTTTCAGCAAATAATGGATGTTTGTGATTGTTAAATATTCTTTAATTTTGAATTTCAGAATCGGCCACCAGGTTCCATCATCACCATGACAACGCTGCCATCTTCTATTCAGGGGAATAATTCCCCTTTGGTTGTTTCACAGGGAGAGAGCAGGTAATATTTTATTATAGGATTCTTAGTAATGTGATCAGTATCACACCCCAAAACCTTCACTGTTCTTCCACTTTCTTCCCCAACGGTAAACCTATAGACTAAGACTGAAGAATTGATAATTACAAGTGTAGTTGTGGCCATTCTCCAGCTTATGATGTGACTAAAAATCTGTTCTCTTTCAACACAGATCAACCAATCAAAACCAACAGCAGTTTGACGTGAAGCCTGGGGACTCCATGTGGTTGCAGCATTATGTCCTGACGCAGGCACCACTGGTGCCGCAACCAGCCCAGATTGTACGACCTGGAGCCAACACTTTTGCATTTTTACCATCGCAAGGGAAGAGTAAGTCTATATTTAAGATATGGATGATAGAGTTCAAAAGGATGCCGTGAGAAAAGTGAATATGTGTGGAAGATGGGGATGATAGGATTTGAATGATGTACTTTGAGAAATCTGGAAGCCAGGAATGTCAGAAGTCAGAATGATATTGCAAGAAGAGTGAATCTGTGGATGTTGTTAGGGTCCTTTGGGAGTGAGTAAACAGTGCAGAGGCACAAATAGATCATCACTTTTTGATGTGAATGGTGCTGTGAGGAGTGACTAGGAGATCTGGTCAACGCTCAACACTCAAGGGGTTGGAGAGATGGAGAAACAGTCAAACTGTTAATGGTGCCATCGGATTAGATGGAGCTTACTGCTGAAGATGGGGGACAGAGAATGAATGACCTGGGTGCTGTGGTGCCAATTCTTAATTTAACATTGAATCTGTGGAAGCTATAAATTACAACTGTACTGTGAGAAAGATTTATCTGCGTGGAAGATAGTGAAGATAATGATATTTTAAGAAGACTGAGCAGGAGTTGGGATGTGATTGAGATGTTGGCCAGCATTTTCAAGAGGTTGTCACATCTGATGCTTCGTTACCTAAACTCCAGCTTGTCAAACTTGAAAAATAACACTCACGGGTTCCCTCATTTTGATCCAGCATTAACAAGGTTGCACTGACAGTAATAATTGTCCTTCTCTCATTCTTTCTTTGCATGTATATGGTGTATCCCGGCGCCTGTGGGTTAGGCGTTGCGAGTCTGACTCGTAATTCCAAAGTACCGCGCTCGAAACCCACTTCTGGCTAAGTGGATTGTTATCATGGTGTGGGGCGTCGGAGGTCGACCCAGCCTAAAATGGGTACCAGGATGTTGACCACATTACCCACCTAGTGCCGATTGGTCTGCCTAAAGAGTTGCACAATTTCACCTCAGTATGTGGTGTCACTAAGGGAGATAGGTTATAATAGCAAAGGTTTTACCTGATGAAATTTACATAATTAATTTAATTTAAAAAAATAACTGGTGAGTGAATAAGCAGGGTAAAATAACAGCAGCAGTTAAAGCTTCTGTTGTTAAGGATGTCAAGAGTGTTAAGCATGTCAGATCATGGTGCAGACAAACATGGTAACGCTATAATTACAGTTTAAAGATGGCCTTCCCACTGTAATTTTATGCTGCTTGTTTTCTAGAGTACTGTTTTCCTTTTCAGTCTTAGCCCAGACACCAAATTTGGCTGCCACCCAGTTAGCTGCAATGTCTGTGGCATCCACCTCAAATGTCAGATTCAACAGTGGACCTGTGATGATGGTGGAACAGCTGCGGCAGCATCACCAGCAACATCCTGTGCAGTCACCTTTCAGTGCCGGGACCACTACTGTCGGTGGTATAAGCGACAAAGCAGGTATTTTGAGATTATAGTCTTGCATTGGATAAGTTCATACAGTTCATTAAAGAACAACAATGAGATGGTTTGGCCACCTGACAAGAATGCCCTGGTACCAGCTGCCACAGAGAGCCACACTGAAGAAAAATAATGAATATAAAGCAAGGGGAAGACCCTGCAAGAGATGGAGCGACAACATCAGGATCAACCTAACTGAAATGAACACCAACTTCTACAATGCATTGGAAAAGGCGCACAGGCGATCCTTATATCTCCCTCCAGCACTTCGCTGAGGTAAATGGTGGAAGAGAAGAAGAAGAAGCATTGGATGTGATTTGGATTTCTGTGGTAATTGGTACCAGGACATTGATCTCATATAGCCAGATCATTGTTCTTCAAACAATTCAAATCACAAAACCTGTGATGAATTTTTTGACTGGTTTTGTTCTTCTCTTTCTTCTTTTGTCATCTTTGTAACCAGTTTGTTGTGGTTTTCTGTTTTGTCTTTCATTTTTTTGAGTGGCATGATTGATGGATTCGTTGTTCATAGTGCGAGTTTGATCTACACTGTCTACCCATCTCATTCTTGGTCTGCGTTGCACACTGTCCATATGTTCTATAGAAGGTTTCATCTACAATTTGGTTTGGCTGCATTCTTGCAGGTGACCAAACGACTTTATTTTCTGTCTTTTAATATAATTCAGGTGTGTTGTCTTCTTCCAGCCTTCTTTCTGTTGCTGATGTTTGTGACCCTGTTGCTTCTTATATTGTTGGGGTTGACATATAGGAGACAGCACATTTCACAAGTAGTAATTATCTGTTTCTTTGGTCTAATCCATGTTTGACACAAATAAGATAAAGGGAGTGCCAAACAGTTATAAGACAGAGAAGATGGTGCTACATTGGACATACTTTGAGAAGAAACCAGCAGACAGTCACCAAACAGGCATTAAAATAGGAAATAAAAAGATTAAGAAGGCAAGGATGCCCAAAAGAAACCCTAAGACACAATGGTGAGAAAGGTCAAAGCTGCTTAACTGGATTCCATTCATGATAGTGAACTAATTGCACAGGATAGACCAGAATGGAGGAATAGACTGTGAGCCCTATGTGAGATATAATGAATAAATGAATGAAAGTTTCTTGAGGCCTCTGAGATGTGGTTTTGGAGAAGCGACCTTAGAATTCCTTCTTCTTCTTCTTCTCTTCAACCTTGTACCTTCATGGAGTGTCAGGGGAAGATGTAACATTTGTTGATGAGCTCTGTCAATAGCACTATAAAGATTGATGTTCATTTCTATAAGGCTGTTCTTAATGCCATCACTCCATATTTTCCGAGGTCTTCCGCTCACTCTGTACCCGTTGTAACATTTCAGCGAGGCTCGCTATGGTAGATAATACCAGGGCATTCTTGTTAGGTGTCCAAACCACTTCATTTGTTGTTCTTTGATGACATGTAAGACCGTCTTTATTCCTAGCATTCATCTGATTTCATATTCTGTCTTTCCTTGAAACTCTGCAGCTCTTCTAAGGCTTTTCATCTCTGTTGTCACACTTTTTCTTGTCAAGAGTTCCTTTGACAGTCAAAATGAGCAACATAGAGGTTTTGATAGAGGTGCAGGCTTGAAGACAACTCACTTAAAACATCTGAAAGAGACAATCACATTTTTTGGTCACATTATGGGAAGAAGTGACCAACATATTGTATCCACTGGAAAGATTTGTGAAAAAAAGAGAGAGGAAGACAAAGTGAGACGATTCTTGACAGTCTGTTCATAGAGCTGAACACATGGAGGTCAACATAGGAACTGATACAGGCGGTTGAATATCCCCATTCCTGGAGAGGCTTGATTAGCCAACCACTCGGCAAGACAATTGATAATAATTATGAGGATGAAGAGGCTATTAATTATTTGTCACTTTGTTGGAAAGGATACATTACGGCGTCTAAGCAGTAGGGCTAGCTAATAGGTGTCAGTATTTGCTTTGTGAACTCTAGCTTTCATCTCTCTTACGTGTCTGCCATCTTCAGTTTGTTTTTATTAAGGAACCAAAAGAGTTAAATAAATATAATTTGTCTTGTCTTTTGCAGCAAACCTCTTATCAAGGTCGACCATGGCCAGCAGCATTTACACAACATCAGCCAGTGTCCAGTCACACATACCTGGTGCTGGTGGCGGAGTGGGCTCCAACGCTGTCACTGGAGGTTTAAGCGCTGTTCCAGTTTCAAATCCCAGCTCTTCTCCGCGTCCTAGTATTCTCAGGAAACGAACCAGTGAAACGTAAGTGGGATTTTTATCTTTCTCTCTGTCTAACCTGGTCTCCACCCCCCCCCTCCTCTCTCTCTCTCTCTCTCTCTCTCTCTCTCTCTCTCTCTCTCTCTCTCTCCCTCCCTCCCTCCCTCTCTCTCCCTCCCTCTCTCCCCTCCCTCTCTCCCTCCCTCCCTCCCTGCCTCTTTCTCTCCCCCACTTAAAAACCAAATGTGATTACAAAGAGGACAGGCCAAGCACTGTTAGCAAGAATCTGGAGAAAAGCATCCATATAAATCAAAGTATCAAATTACAAAAGAAACAAGTCACCAAGAACTGGTGATTTAGTGTTCAGATATCAGTGTGGTCATTGACACTTTTGTCTTAGTACATGTTAGTTTAACAGATTGTTACAAGTATACATGGTATAACAGATTGTTAAAGTGCAAATGGTATAACAGATTGTTACAAGTACAAATGGTATAGGAGATTGTTACAAGTGCAAATGGTATAACAGATTGTTACAAGTACAAATGGTATAGGAGATTGTTACAAGTGCAAATGGTATAACAGATTGTTACAAGTACAAATGGTATAGGAGATTGTTACATGTACAAATGGTATAGGAGATTGTTACAAGTACAAATGGTATAGGAGATTGTTACAAGTACAAATGGTATAGGAGATTGTTACAAGTACAAATGGTATAGGAGATTGTTACAAGTACAAATGGTATAGGAGATTGTTACAAGTACAAATGGTATAGGAGATTGTTACAAGTACAAATGGTATAGGAGATTGTTACAAGTACAAATGGTATAGGAGATTGTTACAAGTACAAATGGTATAGCAGATTGTTACAAGTGCAAATGGTATAGCAGATTGTTACAAGTGCAAATGGTATAGCAGATTGTTACAAGCGCAAATGGTATAGCAAATTGTTACAAGTACAAATGGTATAACAGATTGTTACAAGTACAAATGGTATAATAGATTGTTATAAGCACAAATGGTATAACAGATTGTTACAGGCCTTTGTTCTCGGTCGTCATTGTTATTCAGTAAATTATAGGTTGGCCTTTTGAAAATATGCACATTGTTGTTCAGCAAATGATTGGTGTAGAAGTCTGTGGTTGGGATAACGTGGCATGTTTTCACGTAATTTAAACTCGTTCATATGAGGTAGAATGTCTTAACTCCCTTTCTTCCCCCGACAATCACAAGAAAATTATTTACGTGGTTTCATGCCCATTTCTAAGAAGTTGGTTCAACTACAGAGCCCTCTGAGAAGCAAAGATGATCCTGCCTTTGGCAGAATTTGAACCTGGCTCACTATTTTTTCAGGCAAGATCACTAACCACTGTGGCACTACACTGTTGAAATCGACGTAGAATGGGTTGACGCACCAACAGAGTAAAGTTGGTGTAGAATAAGTAAATGTAATGTTGGTGTAGAATGGGTAAATGTAATGTTGGTGTACAATGAGTAAATTTAACATGTTGAACTTTCTGCAGGGCTGGTATAGTGATACGGAAGCCTAACTTCAATCTGAATCAAGAAAACCGCTGCCACAGCCCTCCGAGAGTAGATACCAACATCACTAGCGTATGCTCACCAAAGATTTCCATAAAGTCAGTACCATTTTGTTTGTTTGTTTAAATAGTGATACTTCTTTTGTGTTTGCCCATAAAATGGTTGGCACGTCGTTTTGTAGTTTACACCCAGTCTGTGTTGTCTGCGCCTTTGGTCCAACACATCTGGATTTCAGTAGACCTTTAATTAACCTCCTTTTATAGGACATGCTTGTTATAGTGAAGTGGGTCTGTTTTTTTCCCCCTTCCCAAAATGGAGCCCCAGAACTCTAATCAGTGTCTGCGTAAATGTTCAGCTTGACAGGGGATGACTACAGTTACTAGAAATTGCCTTAAGTGGGGTTCTTTTTAAAAATGGCTTCATTTTTTATAAATTTCTACATGACATTTTCCCAGTGGTAACCATCTTACAGGGTCAAGTGAGTGTGACACTACTATTAGTTGGTAGTCCCCAAGTGATATAAGGCAGTTCTGTATCTGTGCTGTATTCATGTTTATAAATTCCTACTCTTACTCTATATAGTATATGTCTGTGTTTTCAATGGCAGAGTGATTTTGTGTGCAGGGGGGGGGGGGGGAGGGGGGGGGGGGGGGGGGGGGGGGGGGGGTGGGGGGGGGGGGGGGAGGGGGGGGGGGGGGGGGGGGGGGTGGGGGGGGTGGGGGGGGGGGGGAGGGGGGGGGGGGGGGGGGGGGGGGGGGGGGGGGGGGTAGGGTGGGGGGGGGGGGGGGGGGGGGGGGGGGGGGGTTGTAAAATGAGTAATCTGGTTTTTCTGTTCTGCCTTGGGAATATTCGAAAAATGGAAAATCCTCAGTTTGGCTTTTTTTTTTTTTTTTTTTCTAGGTCACCGGGGTGAAAGGGTTAATCCGACTCTTTGATGTAACCATTATGTATTTTTGTCTGTCCTGATACTTTATTTTTCTACCACAGATAAATTACATTCTATAGTAAATTTATGCATGACATATAGATACAAATATATATGGTTTTAAGCAGGTTTTTTTTAATTTGTGTTGTTTTAACGATAATCTTTATATTTATGTTTCTTGTAGAAATTTCTCACCTGTCAGTGAGAATAGTCAGTCGTCTACAGATACAGCCCTGTCGTCGAACGATGCAACCACCCCAACACACAACCACCATGACAAAGGCAAAGGTGACGGCGAAGATTGCTTACAGCATAGTGAGTTTGTATTTTTTAAATGTATCTTCACACATGACACCACCAGCTTGTGAGTTAAGAACTAACATTACAGCACTTGAGACATTCCCCTGCTTGCACTTCTTATTTTTCAGCGGCCAGTGCAGAGTTCTTATTTTTCGCATTCAGCAGTTGTAAACTCCAGCAGAAAGTTCTGGTTGTTCTCCATCTCAAGACTTTAGAATTGTTCCAAAACCCGAGTGTTGCGTGCAAATTTGTTTTACAGATCTGACTTATCTGTATGCGGACTGTGAGTTCCCTGCCTCTAAGGCAGATGCACTCCCACTTTGAAGAAAACCCCCGATTAGTCGACTCTTAGGACATGCTTGTTGAGGAGTCAGTAGGTCTATTCTTGTTTTCTCTGTTGTGGGGCCTAGAACCCACACGGTTAGTACAGAGTTATATTTCTGATTGTACCACAATGAGCAGGTTAGTTTGTAAATCCGTCTTTCCTTTCCTTTGAGTGTAGAGTGTCGGCCAGATCCCCTGACCAGGCCCCCGCTCCATCATTCTCTCCAGACTTTGATGATCCATTTTTGTTTCCGCATTGTTGATTTTCTCCCAAAGGGCCTTGACCACATCTAGCTTGACCTACATCAGTTTGCCACCATGTAGGGCAGAAACAAACAGTCTGTCTGTCTGAAGTTCAGTTCCCAACACACCTTTATGCCCTGGAGAAAATACCCAAAGGAGGCTGCCCAGGATTTCTTTGATGTCTTGGACATAATTTCTAAGTTTTGTAAATGATAGATTATATGTTGACTTTTGGGAGTGCTGTTTCAACAACATGGGTTAGGCCGCCATTTTTAATTGTCTCACATGTCAAACTTTTTATCTGTTGATTTCCTGTTGTGTGTAAAACCTCCAACTACTTATCCCCTGAAGCAGTGGTTCTCAACCTGTGGGCCTCGGCCCTTTTTTGTGTCGAACGACCCTTTCACATGGGTCACCAAAGACCATTGCAAAACAAATATTCACTGAAGTTATGAAGTGGCGACGAAAATAATTGTAAAATTGGGGGTCGCCACACCTTGAGGAACTGTATTAAAGGGTCGCCACAACTTGAGGAACTGTATTAAAGGGACGCCACAACATGTGGAATTGTATTAAAGGGACTCCACAACAAGTGGAATTGTATTAAAGGGACACCACAACATGAGGAATTGTTTTAAAGGTCCCCACAACATGTGGAATTGTATTAAAGGGACACCACAACATGAGGAATTGTATTAAAGGGTCTGGGCATTAAGAAGGTTGAAAACCACTTCCCTAAAGGTATACAAATGAAACAAAAAAGGTTTTGTAAGATGCTACAGAGAAACAAGCACACATGAATACAATACATGATTGCATCCAGTTTTTTTTTGTTTTGTTTTTTAGTTGTATGTTTATATCCAGCAGCTGTCAAGATCTTTCATATTCTGTTGAAAAGTTTATTTGATTTTCCTTTTTATGTCATCTCGTCTCTTTCTTGCCTAACCATTATCCTTTACTCTTTCCCCCTTCCTACCTTACTTCGTTTCTTACTTTTCTCTCCCCCCCCCCCCAACTTCTCTTCTCTTCTCAGCCTCCCTATTCTCATTCTTACCCTTTCCTTTTCTCCCCACCCTGTCTCCCCTGTCTGTCTGTTCTACACGGTTCTGTGCCACACCTCAATGCAGATTTGAACCCTAGACTTTGGGCTGGCGGACGAGCATCTAGCTACTGTTTTCTTGACTCTCTCTGAAGTGATAGGCCTGAAAGGTTTTCTACTAAGTCACTACTATACAAATATAATTAGACTACTTCGTTGCCACGTTTATTTTTTCTCCATATCGTCTTTGCAGTCAATTTATACTTTACATTCTAACTTCTTTCGTCACAATAATTCTTTTTGCTTCAAGTGTAGATGTGAGTTGTGTATATAGCTTCTTATGTGCTTCTGTTTTTGTATCTGTTGTGACAGGTCCAGTATCCTTGTGTGTTGTCAATAACATCCCTGCCTCTCCGGCAGTCAGTCATGCAGAAAGTGTTTCTGAGGCCTCTCCTAGGAAGCGAGCGAGGAAGCAGTTACTGTAAGTAATCAGTTGATTTGTTAACAGGTCTTGGAAATCAGGCGCCTGATATCCTCGTGTGGGTTCCGAGTTAGGGGGAAAAAAGGAGAGGAAAAGGAATAGACCCACTGAATCCTAACGAGCAAATGGTAAAATGCAACTAATTCGGGTTTTTGCTGTAATTGGATGTGTTGGGCAAAAAAGCGCAGATATTTGCAACTTAACGGTAATCCACAGCAGAACATGCAAACTGCCTTCACAAGGGCGACTGTAGAAGTAGTAGTTTCTTGGTATATATAGCAGTTGAGATTTCACGTATACTAGACCATGTGACTTTGCGGTGGCGTAACAGTCTCGCATTGTTTTTTTTGCTGCCGCCCTTCTCTGAGGAAGTTGCTTTATCCATTTTATGACGGACTACCTCATGCTGCAAAATATTGCAAAATCCAACCAATCAAAAGACTTGGCATGCGTTAATTTACATTGAGAGATAAAAGGCAGCCTAAGAATAATAATAGCAACACCTCTCCACCCACCCCCATCTCCCCACCCCCCATCTCCCCACCCCCACACAACAAACAAACGAAACTACGGAGAAGTAAACTAGAGAGCAAAGTTAACCCTTTTGCCACATAAGAATCTAAAAAAAAAAAATGACTTTTGCAAATTTTGTTTGCAACCCCATAAATGTATAAATTCCAGTAACAGAAGGTGAGGGAAAGGTGGGAGGATCAGTTTTATTGCACTGGGTTTTATCCCGTGTGGCTCAGTCTCTTCTCAGAACAGCTAGCTACCTGCCGAAAACGTTGCACAGAGCTCCACCGACGACCCTCAGGGATTTCTGTAAAAACTGCACTTGTGAGCAGAACGGCGCTGCTGTGAAATGAACCCACACCCTTATGAGCACGAGGCTAATGGCTTGACCACTTCGCCACAGAGACCCCAGTAACAAGAGGATATTTTGTAATGTGTTGGAACAGATTAATCATTCTCCCTTTATTTGTTATGGGGAACTGCGTGTGGTATTTGTCCTGTTTGCTTACATCCAAAGATCTGGAACAGATTAAGGATGTATACTAACTAAGGTACCACTGTACTTGGGAAGAGAAGCTGAGAAGACACAGAGATTAACATGGGAAGGCTAAACACCTGGACCCAGACTGTCACTTGCTGGCATTAAATATGCTGGTCTGGGGTCATTGTCAGTAAAAAAAACTATTTTCTGGCCATTGGCCCTTATTCTCATAAAATAATTAGATTTCAGGCTGGCTGCTTTTATTTCCCAGGGCTTTTCCTGGTACCCTTATTTTATGCTTAGGGTGTCAGTCTATTGTAACCATTTTCTGAAGATATTGTGTTGACCATGGATTCGACTCTTCTGCAGACATGTCAGCGAGGAACTCAAAGACAACACATCATCCTCTGAGGAAGAATTAGAAAAGAATGCCCACAGACATCGGGAAGATTCTGTGAAAGAACAAAATCATTTGGATAAAGAAATACGTGGAGGTTTGTATACACTTCCTTCAGTTTGTGTGTGCCTGCCTGCGCGTGCACGTGCCTGTCTGCGCACGTACCTGCCTGCTTTCCTGTCTCGGTTACATCTAACTGAAACTTAGGGCAACTATGTCGGGTCAGTGCCTCAAAGTACACTACCACACAGCACGTTAGTTAAATCAAATGAAGATTTACTTGATTATTTCTTTGTCCTCTCCAAAGTACACAAATGGCAATTGTTTTTAATTAATTATTTGTTACCTAGTGCACAGATGATTGACCAGATTACCTTTTTCCCTCAGAATACATAGAATGACAATTGCCTTATAATTTTACCCTGTCCCCTCAGAGTACATAGGTGAAAGTTGCTTTATATATTTACCTTGTCCAATCAGAATACCTAGATGACAATTGCCTTTTTTTTTTAACTTTGTCTCTGAATACATACGTGACAATTGCCTAATGTTTTTTCCTTATCCTCTTAGAATACATACATGACAATTGCCTTTTGTTTTTTCCTTATCCTCTCAGAATACATATGTGACAATTGCCTTATGTTTTTTCCTTATCCTTACAGAATACATATGTGACAATTGCCTTATGTTTTTTCCTTATCCTCACAGAATACATATGTGACAATTGCCTTATGTTTTTTCCTTATCCTCTCAGAAAAAAATTTGTGACAATGACCTTGTTTTTTCCTTATTCTCTCAGAATACATACATGACAATTGCCTTATGTTTTTCCTTATCCTCTGAGAATGCTTATGTGACAATTGCCTTATATTTTTTCCTTATCCCCACAGAATACATACATGACAGTTGCCTTACGTTTTTCCCTATCCTCTTAGAATACATACGTGACAATTGCCTTATGTTTTTCCCTATCCTCTCAGAATACATACGTGACAATTGCATTATGTTTTTCCTTCTCCTCTCAGAATACACAGATGAAGAAGGGGTGAGGTGGGTGTTGAACAAGCCAAAACCCACTTATGTTCTGCTTCAGCCGGATTTTATCAACAGTAAAACAAAAAACAACCATTTCATCAGATATTCGGATGTCAAACCAAAAGGTATGTTATTGTTTGTGTTCACTTGTTAACCGGTTTGGTGACTCCAGGCCACTAATGCGAGCTTTCAGGTCTGCCTCATTGACCGTGAAGTAGTGTAAGAGCTAGGCTACTTCCAGTTTGAAGAGACAAGGTGACAAGATGGAAAATATTGAAATCTCATAACAGTGACACTCAGTGGGAAGATTGTGTAAACTGACAGTGCTAATTTACTTTTGTGATATGAACAAACAGAAATACATTCATCACCTAAATTGTTAATCTATGACTTATTAGCTTCTGTATGTGATTAATTTTATGTTTGCCATCACGGATGGTGGCAGATGTGAAATAGAAATTTAAAAAAAAAAAAGAGACTAGGATTGATCAGAATTCTTTTTCAGCAAGATGGACAGACAGTGACTCACAAAAATAAACAAAACATAAAAAATTAGAAATCAAATGTTATGTTTATTCAGCTCTCTATAGAGCCCAGAAACCTTAACCTGGATAGGCTGACCCAGTCAACAAATGCCCCAGAAAGTTTGAATGTGCCAACCAAATGCGCAAAAACACAGCCAGTTTTCTTCTTCTTCTTCTTCTTCTTCTTCTTCTTCTTCTTCTTCTTCTTCTTCTTCTTCTTCTTCTTCTTCTTCTTCTTCTTCTTCTTCTTCTTCTTCTTCTTCTTCTTTTTCTTCTTCTTCTTCTTTGTTCACCGGCTATAAGCTCCGGCCGGATGTCCCGGTTGTTGGTCCATCTGGACTTTGGCTTTGTGCCAGGGCCTGAGTTTATGCTGGCTTATTTGTGTGCAGTTGGTTGTTTCTTGCTGCTCAGCCAGATGCACTTCGCCTGTCAACGAAGCTCCCAATTACTCTACTCCTACAACATGCTTGTTGGAGGGGTAGGCAGTGGGTCGCTTTTTGTTTTCCCTAAAATGGAAACCACACGGCAAAGAAACGACCATTCTGTAAATGGACGAATGATATTTACGTCTTTGGATGAAAGCAGAAAAAAAAAAACCTTGACAATGAGTAAGCATGGAGAAAGTCAAGCTGGGGCCTGGAGATATGGAAATGTACAGGATCAGTCCGAAGCTACATATTATTCTTCTTCTTTGCGTTCCTGGCGGAAAGTTCTGGTTGTTCATCCACTTTTGGACTGCAGTCGTTTTCCAGAACCTGAGTGTTGGTGTGCATCCGTTTTACAGAACTGACTCATTTATATGCAGACTTCTGGTTCCTTGCCTCTCAGACAGATGCTCTCCGACTTCAAAGGAAGCTCCCAATTAGTCGACTCTTACGACATTCTTTTGGGTAGGCAGTGAATCTATTTGTGTTTTCCCCTATAATAGGACCACAGAAACCACACAGGGAGCTACATATTTAATTTTACATGTTTAATCACAGGATATTATGGATGTTGAGAGCTTGAAAGGCAATTTGTCAAATTAACAGTTGCTCTAACATTTGCCGTAAAATGAATATCTGATCTATCGTTGATCTGTTCTGTTGGAAATCTGCTTGGTAATCACCCATTATGTCTTCGATGTATGGTTTTAACCCCTTTAGCTGTACCGGATAGTATCTTATATCTTGTAGATAATAGAGACATTAGATCAGATATTCATTTTACGGCAAATGGTAGAGCAAAATTGGCAATATAAAAAGAGAATGTACATAATGTTTTATTGTGGATTTTAAAAAGTAAATATGATAGTGTGATGCGCCGAAAGGCGTGAAAATGGAACTTTACTTAATTTGTTACTCACCAATTTACCTAACCCTCAGAGACAACGATAGAAATGATATTATCAGAAAGACTGTGGAAACAGCACCATTCAGCAAATACATTGAGAAACAGAAGATCAAATGGTTTGGTCATCTAGTTAGAATGAAGCCAGAACAACTAGCAGCGCAGGAGCTACACATGTAGCTTCCTAGGGGAAGATGGATTGAAGACATCAAAGAGCTACATCGACACGGAATGACAGTAGACATTGCTACCCATCATGGAATGGATCGCAAAATGTTCCTCCCTGTAACACTTAATGGCAGAAGTGGAAATTGGTGGTGGTGATCATGATGATGGTGATTATGACTCGCTATTAATATCACAGCATAATTTGCAACTCTTTAGAAAGTCACGCATTACTTTTTGATACATACACACTTGAATGTGTAGCCATATTTTTTTAACTGACCCTGTATGCAAATGTCCTATCACAAGCTTGGGACACAGATGTTTGTGAGATTGCTCTTCTATTTTTATTTGTCTAGATCTGTAAGCTTTATTTGTTTGTTTCAGAGGAGAGGCGGCCGACAGTGAATGAACTTTCAAACCAGAGGAGTATTATGCAAAAAGTCAATGGCTGGAAGTTATATTTCTCAGCGTCGCAACTAGAAGAACTGGTATGATTTTAATACTTGTTCGCATGTCATAGCTTTGTTTTTTATTTTTAAATAATAAAAAAAAAACATAACAAATCAAAGTTAGAAGAACAAATTTATTTTTTCTATGTAATCATCAGGTTAAATTCAAATATCTGGGAACAGTCATATCATCAGGTGGAAAATGTGTGACAGAGATTAAAAGCAGAATAGGTCAAGCGAAAGCTGCATTTCAGAAAATGAAAAATATCTTATGCAATAAACCGCTCTCATTTAATGTCAGAAAGATGGTGCTAAAATGTTACATAGAACCTATTCTGCTGCATGGCAGTAAATTTTGGAATGTCAGTAAACAAATAGGAAGAATTTGGAAGCAACAGAGTTGTGGTTTCTGAGATGAATGTTACGAATACCTTGGACAGCCAGAGTAACTAACAATGATTGCTTGAAAGAAGCTAATGAAAGTAGATCTCTATAAACAACAATAAGAAAGACACAAACATTGTTCTTTGGCCACATAATGAGAAGAGAGACATTGGAGAACATCGTGACAACTGGAAAGATCAGTTGAAAAAGGGGTAGAGGCAGACCAAGAAAGATGATGCTGGATGGGCTGAAATGATGGCTTTTAGGGATATCATTAAGAGAGCAGTTCCAGGCAACCAGGGATCGTGATCTGTGGAGACGCATGAACGCCTGCGCCAGTTGGCAGGGCACATGATGATGATGAATTGTCAGGTAATCGAAGTTCTAACGTCACAGCAAACGGGTCAGCCTGTAGTTGCTCTATTCCTATGCCAGTAAAAACCACACATAATGTCTATGACTGTCCCTATAATCATTACTGATAGAGACTAGTCTGCAAAGCTTACAGTATACACATGCATTGAAGGCATAAGGCAGCCATCAGACTTGCCAACACAAACAGTCTTGCACTTTAAAAAAAAGCAGTTTATCATTGATGGAAGCAGCAGTTCCAACAAAGCAGTTGAAGCACATGCAGTTAATCACATAAAGTACCCACAGTTGTGTAGCAGCAGGCCACTCGCTGTATACTGAGTCTGCAGTTCAGAACACAAACCATCTTGGGCACAGTTAAAAAGCACTCCAAAAGAAATACACAACTCACAGAGTTGCGCCATGCACTCAGCTTAGTAGGTCATGTTTTTAGAAGATTGTGTTGAACTGTTAGTGTGTTATGTTTTGAGGTTACGTTGAAGAATATGCATGTATTGGAATTAAATATGGTTATATGTTATATATAAATTTTTTTTTTTATCTTGAGAGATTTTTTCCATCATCGTCAAGTAACAAATTGTTTGCAGAACATCACTCTTATCACAGCCTACACAGTCTCAATCCCCCATCATTGTTCCTGTAATGTGTAGATCATCTAATTTTCTACCAATCGTTTTGGTCAGCCCTATCTTATCTATCAGGAAATATGCCAGCACTTACAGTGTGCTCTGACTTTGATGTGGTTAAATGAGATATTATGTCATTATTGAACTAATTGTCATCAATTGTCAAATTTTGGAGAATGTCAGTATTTAAAAAAAAAAAAAAATGTTAATTGTGAATCAAGTATTCTGTACTTTGTTCTGTAACTTTAAATTCACAGGCCTTGATTCTCTTTAGGAGTATTTGCAAAATGATCTACATGATTCACTTCAGTTCACTTCAGTATGTTACACAGGAGAAATGTGTGTTCTTTGTTTAATTTTTATTTGCTTGCTGGAGTCACAGCTTCTTCTTGCTGTTTATTTCTGTTTTAGAAATAGCAAGTTTTTTTTTTTTTTTTAAACTTCTTTTCAGTGGTGCCTATTGTTGTTAATTATGTTCCCTTGTGGGTTCTGGGGCTCTGTTGGGGGGGGGGGGGGGGGGGGGGGCCCTCACAGTCATATGGTAAAAGACAAATAGTTAGCAATGTTTTCTTTAAGTCAGATGTATCTGCCTGAGAGGTGAGGAACCAACAATCTGCACAAAAATTAGCCCAATCTGTAAGCCCGATGCATAACTCAAGTTCTGGGAGAAGACTAGAGTCCTGAGGTGGACGAACAACCAGAATTTACAGCCGGTGAATGCTAAGAAGAAGAAGATAGTTAATTCTGGAACCAGGGTATTCACAGTGGTGCTTTCCCAATATCCCCCCCCCCCCCCCCCCTCTCCCAGGATGACATCACAGGTCAGTCCAATATTTTTTAGGGTGGTAAGAGCAGGTTTCCTGGCTTTCTGATGCTTTTAACTACCCCAAAACATCTAGAACTGGGTCTAACCCCAACCCACCTACGTCCCACAAAAGAGTGTAGCCTAGGTCCCACGACTGCATGCAGCCTATCTACCACCCCCTAAAATATTTGACTGTCTTTTTAGGGGGAGACATTAGGAAAGACCCCACAGTTATGATATTTTTGATTTGTTGTTGAAGAGTTGAAGATAATGTATGTAAGGAGGTAAGATTTTGGCATGTTATAAGGCAGAAAAATTATACAATTTATAGACAAATACAGAACATGACTAATATGAGAACTGCTGCCAAGTCTAACTTTGAGGGGGAGTGGGGGAGGATTTGTTGTCAGGATTAGCCTCAGTGTTCTTCTGGAATTTAGAGGATGGGTTAGTTTCTTCTTGTCATAGTTTATATTCTCATGTTGACTTTTGTTCCAGTTTTTGCTGTTTATGTCGGCGTCTCTGTGGCTTAGGTGTTGCGAACGCACTTCGTAATGCCGGGTTCGATCCTAGCTGCGAGTCTTGCGTTGGTTTCGGCAATGGTATCGAGAAGTTGACCGCCCAGAGATCAATGGCAAACTACTGGACGTAAACTTGTCTAGGAAAACTACAACAACCAAAAAATGCTGGGGTTGGTTCTGCAATGTCTGTAAAGGATACGCAAGTAACTTAACTTTTGCTGTTTATAAAAGTGTGCTCACCAGCCACTATGAGTCTTAATGTGATCACTGCTACAGATATGCTTATCAAGAATTTAGGTTGTGGAAAATTGATTTGACATATGCTGATTGAGTGCCTTGTCAGCTGGTGTGAACACTCGATCTTTTTCTGCATGTAACAGTTAATGTGGTTACACTTGTCCATGTTATGACACCTTTTTATGTTATGGCACCTTTCCATGTTATGGCAGCATTCCATGACATCTTTTCCTGACACCTTCTCATGTTATGGCACCTTTCCATGTTATGACACCTTTCCATGTTATGACACCTTTCCATGTTGTGACACCTTTCTGAGAGGCTGAGTGGTCTCGAGGAATAGTGTCCGCCTTGAGTGCTAGAGGTTTGTTCAGGTTCAATCCCTGTAAGGGCTGGGATTTTTTCACGTAGACTTGGACTTTTAGTAATTCCTGGTCTCTGGGTAGTGAGATCGGACGCTCTGGTGTATTTTTGTGCTCATAAAAAAATCCCTTGTCAGTTGAAAATAAAAAAAGAGTAGCCTAACGGCGCTGCCCGGGCAAAAATGTCGAGTTTAAAATCTACCCAAAGTATTTTGGGATCCTCGCCGGGGCTACAGCGCCTATGCACTGTGATGAGCTTCTTCGGACTCAGACTTGAGTTAGAAAAAAGAACGGAGCACTTATGGGTTACTACCTGTGTGCCAAGATGTTGATCTGTTGTTCAAACCTCAAACCTTTAACACCTTTCCATGTTGAAACAGTACTTCCTATATCTCAAGTCACAGCAGAGATGCCAGCGATATTCGCTGTATTGAATACTGTGCAACAACTGTTTTAGGTTGTCATTCTTGTAGACAACGTGTTCGACTTGAATAAATTTTCACCAGTTTGCATTATGGAAAAGCACCACTTTAAGACTCAGTTTCGAGGTGTCTGTGAATAGTCACCATTCATGTGTGTCATTTTTTAAAATTTAAAGAGCATCAGTCTGTCTGCATCAGAGTAGAATACTAGGTTATTTTACTTTCTGAAGTAATGCGCAAACTAACCATGACGAGTGAGAGAAAATGTTACTCTGACATTTTCCCTGATGAGATTCCATTGTTTGAGTCTTGACCAAAGTAACTCTGCTTTTGCAAGATTGTTCATGTCTAATTAGGTAAGAATGTGTGGTGCAGATGACCCACCTAGGCAGATGAACAGATCATCATAAGAAGATTACGGCTGTGGAGCAGCTGTTATTGGTTCTTATCTCTCAAAAAGGCAAACTCTTCAGTGGAAATGTCTTTGGAGGTTCAGGAACAGGAAGTCTTTCACCATGTGAAACTGATCAGAGACTGATTGTATATTTGGGTACACTATCGTCCATTGTTTTTAAATTTGTGTGTGTCTTGTGGAACCATGCAGAAATAGCAGTCATTTATGTCATTTTTGGGCTCTCTCCCAACCATGAGAACTGCAGGTGGCATCAGTACATTTTCTTCTTTTATTCACTTTAGAAGCTTTTTTGCACAGATACTGCAGCACCTATGAGAGGCCCAGCCTTGTCATGACCCCCGATATTGCATCAGAAAAAACAGTAATTCGTCTTTTTCAAAATTAATGTAATGGCCTCTTTCCGGCTTGCAAATGTTACTTCCCTGCAGATATAACAGAAATATTAACAGGCTTTCAAGGCTTCCCTACTACTGGCATGTAAGCCTCAGGGGGAAAATTTACTTGTTCACACTTTGAGAGTTTACTTTTTAAATAATGATTGCATAATTTTTGGTTAACAGTACTTCCTTCGATTGGTGTGTATCTTTGAGTGATGCAGTTCACGAAATATGTTGCATTCTGCAGTTGAAAATATGGTTTTTGAAATGCTAACATTCGTACTGTATATAGGCTTAGTTATGACTATCTCGGAATTTCCTAAAGTGTCAGGATCTTGTCCAGTGATGTTGTAGCGAAGGTAAAAAAGTTGATACTGTCTACATAGCAGTCAGTTAATGGATTCAAATTCCTAATGTGAAACTGGTAAACACAAAAGCATTGACACTCATCACCTTAAACTACAGCTACTTTTCAGCCCATGGCAGAATACATTAACTTGACCTGAACACTGCTATTGAATGCAGCAGAAGTGACCTTAACCTTCAGCCAATAATAGAATGTCATCAGCTGACTTACACATTGTCATAATTGTTGCTGGAAACCTTTCCATCTTTTAAGACAGTAGGGTTGTATTTTGCTATGAGGAGGCATGTGACTCACAGCCCATGGTGATGGTGAGTGTGACTAGCAAGACCTGCCTGGGTTAAGAACAGTATTCGACAATTGTAGCATGGGATTTCTAGACTGTTGTTGCTATCATTTGTATTCAGGTTTTTTCCCCCTCACATGCTCAGCCCTCACCCTTTCTGCAATACTTTCTTCCTTCATTCTTATTCCCTTCTTGGTTGCTCCCTCCATGCAACCTTGTCCATGGAATTTCATAATTGTAACATTGTAATATTTATAGTTCTTAAATGCTCACCATAACATAATATAACCCTTACCCTGTTAGGGTCATGGAGATGTATCGATAGAAGCATGAGAACACAACATTTTCCCATCTTACTCTGTCTTCTGCTTGGTGAACAAGTGTATAGTAATTTAGTCCCATTGATTTCTTTATGTTGTTATTCCAGGTTTTCTCTTTGCCCCCCTCTTCTTCCGCTACACCCCCCCCCCAATAGTGTTCCTTGAAGTACAGTCTTTGCAATCAATCATGTCTCACCATGGGCCCAAACCAAGCTAGCTTGGGATGTTTCACTACTGCCAGAAGAGGCTCCTTCTGTCCCACGAATTTGTTTATTTGGTCTCTTACATATATGTTAGTTTCATGTTGTAATGCTCAACTCATATCAGACATTTTCTTTCTCCTGCCAGGCCAACATTCAGCGGTGTCAGCTGATACAGAGCCAGCTGTCAGAGGCTATGGCAGCCATGATACGTACATTAGAGCACAAACCTCGCATTCAGGAAATTGTCAACAAGCACATGAGCAAACGGCCAATCAAGAAGAAGGAGAGGACGTAGCATTTGTTGTTGGTTTAGCTTATCCTTGTTCTGCTTTCGGTTCTAGTTGTGGCATTTGTTTCGTTTGCAGGTGCCAGATTTTTTTTTTTTAATAAAACACTCCTGAGGCAGGTTTTTCTTGGGGGCAGGAGAAGTCATGTTGTAAAAGCCTGAGATTTTGTTTAAAAAATCAAGTGTGTACATATGTGTGTTTGTGCATACATGTGTGTAGTGTGTATGTGTGAGAGAGAGAGAAAGACAGAGAGAAAGACAGAGAGATAAAATACACAAAGAGAATCGTGTATATATGTACAAATTGTTTTTTTTTACCACAAGTCATTTTTAAATAAACTTGCATGCCGTGTTTTTCCCTAACAAAGGTGTGAGTGAGAAATGCGATAACAAAATGGGGGGGGGGGGGGGGGGGTCTAAAAAGTATGGTGGTGCTTATCATAAATGAATTAACGGTCTTTCCTCTGATTCATAAGGCTGTAAAGGAAAGTTGCAGCTCTGTGTTACTTTAGCATAAACATGCCATATTTTGATGTCCTGTATGAGGACCAGTGAGGTCCCTGTTAGAAGATTACAGCTTGGGACAACCGCTGCCACGGATTTGTGAATCCTTGTCATCTAGGGGCAGTGTCTTGAGTTGAATTAGGTAACCTTCTTTCTCATGGTGTTGGGTGTTGGCCAAGTCTTCTGGTTACTCCCAGCTGCATCATTTTCTCCAGACTGAACTGATCTGTTAGCTCTTTCTGTTGTGGGCTTACTTCAACTTTTATCCAAGTGTCTGGTGACAAATGCTGACCTTTTTCTTATAGACCATGCTCTCTGGCATTGGTAGGCAGGTTTGTTCACAGCCTTCTGTCTCATGCACTTTCTGTTATTTCTAATACAGGTGATTCTTTATGTGGTGATGCCAGACTGTCTGGCATTTGCTCTCTCGGGGGTCACTCTGCTGATCTTCCCCTCCAGCTTTCCTGCTGTCACAGTGTACCACCACCCCCCCCCCCCCCCCCCCGGCTCCCCTTTTTTCTCTCACTTTGTTGCCAGAGAATTTAGATTGCCTCTGATAGAGGTAATTAGTTCTCTTCATGAATATTCTTTCAAGGCAGTTTCGTTACTCTTTATTCTTGTCTATGGTGTTCTTATGATTCACTTCAGTAAAAATCAATCTCTAGCTAGTTCTTAAACCTTTTTTTTTTCTCACCCTATGTGCTGACAAATAAATGCATTAAATAGTAAAAATGGATGGCCTCTGCCCTGCTATGAAACTCACACAGTGATCCCAGTACTAAGCTGGGGGTAGCCTACACACCTCTCTGGTTAAATAGCCATTTGTAGTTGGTTTAAATTATTTGTTGAAGATTTATTTTTTTGTTATCATTTCCTTTTACCATCAGCTTCAGAAAATTAATTTTTGCTTTATAAAAATTAATTCTTAACAGTTGGGAATATCCTTATCAAATATGGTCTGTTTCATTATGTTCTAATTCTAAATAGACCACTCTGGCTTTAAACTTGGTGATTCTTAATACTTGTACGATTGTCAGACCTACTGTTTTCAAGATTGCTTGAATTGTTTAGTTTATAGTTCTCACTACTACTGGAATGGTTTAGTTTACAGTTTTTGTCAGTGCTAGAATTGTCTAGATTATAGTTCTGAGCACTGCTGTGATTGTCTTGTGTATTATCTTGTATCTTCTTCTTCTTCTTCTTCTTCTTCTTCTTTTTTTTTTTCTTCTACTTCTTCTTCGCATTCACCGGCTGTAAACTCTGGCAGAAATTTCTGGTTGCTCGTCCACTTATGGACTTTAGTCTTGTCCTAGAACTTGGAGTTTTGTGGGCACATCCACAAAATCCAGATGGGGTATATTTGTATGCAGACTGTTGGTTCCTTGCCTCTCAAATGCATTCAGACTTCAAAGGAAACCCCTCATTAGTCGACTCTTACGGCATGCTTTTAGGGGAGGCAGTGGGTCTGTTCTTATTTCCCCCACAATAGGGCCCTGAAACCCACACCAGAAATCTAGCCTATAGTTCTTAACAATGCTATAATTGTCTATTTGATCATTCTGTACATTGCTACAATCGTCTGGTTTATCATTCTCAACGGTGCTACAGTTGTTTGGATTATAGTTCTGAGCACTGCTACAATCGTCTGGTTTATCATTCTCAATGGTGCTGCAGTTGTTTGGATTATAGTTCTGAGCACTGCTATAATTGGCTGGTTTATCATTCTGTATAGTTCTGAACAGTGCTCTAATTGTCTAGTTTATCATTTTCTACAGTGCTACAATAGTCGGGTTTATCATTTTTTTACAGTGCTGTAATTGTATGGATTATGAGCACTGCTATCATTCTCAACGGTGCTAGAATTGTCTGGTGTTTAGCTCTTAGCAGTTCCAAAATTGTCTTGTTTATCTTTCACAGTAGTGCTAGAATTATCTGATTTATCTTTCTAAACAGTGCTAGAATTTTCTAGTTTATCTTTCCCAACACTACTAGAATTGTCCGGTTTATCATTCTCAACAGTGCTAGAATTGTTTAGTTTATCTTGCTCAGCACTGCTAGAATTGTCTGATGTATAGTTCTCGGCACTGCTAGACTGCTGTAGCTTATTGTTTTAGCTAATCATTCTCAGCACTGCTAGAAGTGTATCATTTCATAGATTTTTGGAAATTTAAACTGTTAAAACTTGTCCTGAATCATAAGTTTCTAGTTGTTAACACCTACATTTCTAGTTGTTAAAACCTCTGTACTTATCTAAATCGTACATTTTTGGTTTCAGCGATGCTAGAGTTACACAAATCATAAATTCTAAGTAGTTATGAATGTGTTTTACAGAATTGTTCAACACAAACCCTTCACACTGTCACCAAATTATGCAACTGAACAGTTTTGAACCAGTATGAAACAACTATGATAAAGCTGTCGTTCAAAAATCAACTATGTATGCTGTGTTAAAAACAAAACATCGTTTAAAGTTCATTGCCAAAATGAACATATTTGCTGTAGATAAATAAATCAGACATTTATGCGATGTTTCCACATGTGCTGTTTTATTCATTTTCTTCATGGCCTTGTTGTTTGTGTACAGAGTCTATCATGGTTTGTTTTAATGCCAGTTTAGAAACAACATTCCAGATGTGTGGCACACTTGACAGTCAGACATTATGTCAATTAAATGGTCAAAGATTGATTTGTAAAACACTTAACAGTCAGACGTTGTGTCAGCATCATGATACGAAAATCATGTATGCCACATTTAACAGCCAGATGTGTATGTCAGTATAGGGGTCAGACATTGATGTGTGGTACATTTAACAGCCAGATGTGTATGCCAGTATAGGGGTCAGACATTGTTGTGTGGTACATTTAACAGCCAGATGTGTATGTCATTATAGGGGTTAGACATTGGTGTGTGTGGTACATTTAACAGCCAGATGTGTATGTCAGTATAGGGGTCAGACATTGGTGTGTGTGTGTGGTACATTTAACAGCCAGATGTGTATGTCAGTATAGGGGTCAGACATTGATGTGTGGTACATTTAACAGCCAGATGTGTATGTCAGTATAGGGATCAGACATTGGTGTGTGTTGTACATTTAACAGCCAGATGTGTATGTCAGTATAGGGGTCAGACATTGATGTGTGTTACATTTAACAGCCAGATGTGTATGTCAGTATAGGGATCAGACATTGATGTGTGGTACATTTAACAGCCAGATGTGTATGTCAGTATAGGGGTCAGACATTGGTGTGTGTGGTACATTTAACAGCCAGATGTGTATGTCAGTATAGGGATCAGACATTGGTGTGTGTGGTACATTTAACAGCCAGATATGTATGTCAGTATAGGAGTCAGACATTGGTGTGTGTGGTACATTTAACAGCCAGATGTGTATGTCAGTATAGGGGTCAGACATTGGTGTGTGTGGTACATTTAACAGCCAGATGTGTATGTCAGTATAGGGGTCAGACATTGGTGTGTGGTACATTTAACAGCCAGATGTGTATGTCAGTATAGGGGTCAGACATTGGTGTGTGTGGTACATTTAACAGCCAGATGTGTATGTCAGTATAGGGGTCAGACATTGGTGTGTGTGGTACATTTAACAGCCAGATGTGTATGTCAGTATAGGGGTCAGACATTGGTGTGTGTGGTACATTTAACAGCCAGATGTGTATGTCAGTATAGGGGTCAGACATTGGTGTGTGTGGTACATTTAACAGCCAGATGTGTATGTCAGTATAGGGGTCAGACATTGGTGTGTGTGGTACATTTAACAGCCAGATGTGTATGTCAGTATAGGGGTCAGACATTGATGTGTGGTACATTTAACAGCCAGATGTGTATGTCAGTATAGGGATGTGGCAGCCACACAAAGCATTTTAGTGAGGTTCCCAGCCAGTGGTCAGTGGACCCTGGGATTTGTAGAACATATTTAAGGGATTTGTGTTATCATTTGCACAGGCACACACACACACACACACACACACTCACACCCTCCTTTTCTCCTCTTCCTCCTACTCGTCAACCCTTATTATTCCTTTGGCGATTCTTGGGCAGTGGGTGTTTAAAATTGATTAATATAAAGAGTGGGGTGTGTGGCAGACTTTAGAAAGTTGGGGAGCAATGTTCTGGCATGTAAAAACTTTGACCTGTGTGGTAACTGTCAGTCGTTCCATGTGATACTTAATGTGTGGTTACAGGTAGAAGTAAAGGCCCTTTTTCATGCAAGAGATTTAATTAGACTTGCAGAAATAGGCTCATATGTGTATAGAGCAGTACTGGGAGCCTGCTGGGTAAAGTAGGGGCTAGATGCTCGCTTGGTGGCCCACAAATAATTTACAACATACACATGCTATGTTGAGTGTTAACGTAACAAGTCAAATGTTTATCTCATAATTGGATCACATCATGTGTTGTGTGGGACCTATAGGCAGTGGCTGACCACACATCATGTGTTGTGTGGGGCCTATAGGCAGTGGCTGACCACACATCATGTGTTGTGCGG